TGACCATGTGGGCCCCACATGTCAGTGGGTCCCATTGTATTTTTATGTGTGAATGAAAATGGGTCCCACATATATATATTTTTATTTCTAATGTCATATAAGCGCCACGTCAACGCCACGTGTGATGAAGACCCAGTCAACACCGCCACGTCAGCGAAACCACTCTCCAAAACCACTAAGTGAGTCAAATTACACCGGTTTCAATATTTTGGCGAGTTGTTCTATCCGGTTTTGTGGTTAAGGGGCACGAATTAGATTCGGCCGACTTTTAAGGGAGTCGAAGTGGACCTTTTCCTTCATGTATCTTTTCAAATTCACCGTACTAAGGTGCATCGTACCTGTAATAGGTTGGAAGGAGTATGGTAGTAGCACTAGCAGCCCCATCGTTTTGCTTATTCGTGGAATAAGCCAAACGACATATTTGCAAACAGGATGTAATTTGTGAGTAAAATGTTTATATATATTCTTAGCAATCTAAAAGCAAATGCTGAAAAATAAATTTCGATGAAAAACCCCAAAATCAATTCCAAATTTTAGGTGGATAATTCAAATTTTGGCTGATGCGGCATAAGCATAAGCGAAAAGACGAGCCCTCCTAATAACGATCCGGCTCAGACCCCAACAGTTCTTAGGCACACCCACTCGGGGAAAGGTCTAATCTCCCTAAAAAACTAGTCCAATAGGAGAAGGGTGGCTCTCCCTTTTAAGGTGGCTTCCTCCTCCCAAGCTAAGCAAGTGGGATTATTCAGAGGCTCACTCGGTCGCCGCCTGACTTTTGCGTCTTTGTCAGCGGGTAATAGTGGAGAATGTTCTCATCACCTGCTCCATCTGTTTTAGCACTAACATTTCTATCACTCCGGGATGTGTATAGCCCGCCATCCGAGTAGAGTACTAAGAGCTTATTCAGTTCCTTATCATTCTCAACCATTTCAAATACTATCTCCTTCTCCGTAATATGTTTGACGTTGACTAGTTCAATTTTGTGCTAACCAACATCAAAGAAAAAAAAATAAAGGCAGTAATTTGGTAAGTTAGCAAATTAAATATATCATTAACAACACGACCTTATCTATTTTAGCTAATTCCATAGCTTTCTGCTCACAAAACTACTGCCAACATTTGACAACACTACCATCTTCATTTTACCTTATCAAAATTTACTAATGCCAAAATTTAGGATTATCAAAGATTAATAAAGTTTTGTTCATCAATAAAGTGAAAAAGCCCTATGAAAGCTAAGAGTATATCAGGTTTGAGACGATTTGTTTGGCCAATCGATCCAGATAATGTTTTCCATATCTTAGTGCGGATCTCAGTAGTTTTCCTCTTTTTTTTTCCTTTTGAAAAGGCAAGAAATTTGCCTTGTCGATCTATATTGAGCAGATCTCAATAATGTCACTGTGGAATTTGTGATCGTAACAAGAGGAGAAAATAATTGCGACTACAAATTAATGTAATTAACTGTGAGAAAAATTAACGCAAGGAGAAGGCGTCTTGTTGACTTTAGCTTAAACAGTGTTTAGTCCCCATTGAACCGCCAGTAGTATATTCGACGCGCCACCATCGTGGTGATTTTAGCAGATAAAAAAAAGAACACGATAAAATTAATTTCCATGCTCCTGCGGCTGGTCTATTGCAGGGAGCATCATTCCTCGGATACAGTTGCTGTTGCCTTGTTGGGTACAGTTGTTGTACCACCTGAGTTTTTTTTCAGTTTGTCTCGTACAGTACTGTGATCATATTCTTGTGCTAGACAGCTAGAGCATGACTCTGCTGCCATTCATTGAATTCTAAATAGAATTTGAGGTCGCCTGAGTCACTTTAATTGGTTGACTCTTTTTCATAATTGCTAAAATTATAAGTACAAGAATCTATATAAATTTATTAAAAGCCAAAAGTTAAAATTCAATACTATTTTGGATTAAAATCTGAAACAAATTCAAGCCATGCAAATTCATATATCTTTGCTTCCGTGCAAAAAAAAAGTATAAACATCATTTGAGAATGTAAAAATTTCCAAAAGTTTTACTCACTTTTCTCCATTTTCTGGCTGTGTTTTCCCCCCTTCTTTCCAACTCTCCTTCATCTTTTTTCGCGCTCATACTTTTCAAACTGCTAAATGGTTACACTATTTACAAAATTTTTTTTATAGAAAAGTTGTTTTAAAAAATCATATTAATCAATTTTTAAGTTTTTAGGCTAATACTTAATTAATCATGTGTTAATGGAAAACACCGTTTTCCGTGTGGGGAGTTGGAGACTCAGCCTTTGATGGCAATCCAATGATTCTTGTCCCTTGTCCCTTTTTTTTCTTATTATATAAAAGGTCGAACAACATATTTAAATATTCAAAAATTACAAAATTACATAAAATAAATAAAATTTACAAAACCACATGAAAAATATTCAAACTTAGATAAAAATAAAGTAAAGACATATATAACAACAAAGCTATAGCTAAAAAGAAGTAAAATTGTGCATTGCATACTACTGCGATTTTAGCCTCAGGAATATGCAATTTCAAGTGACTAGGAATTTACAAATTTCGAGACACTTAAAATCTAGCAATACCTTTAAAATCTATCTATATCTATCGATCAATCTATGTACACGTCTTAGATTTTGGAAAAGAACATGAGAGGTAGTAGTGGCCTTTAATTATTCATAATTGCTATATATATATTCTCTCCTTTTAGTAACAGGGCGCGGGACCTGATTAACCAACATTAGCAATTTCAGATGAATAGTACTCCATCCGTTTCACACGGTAAGTTATTTTAACATTTTCCACATTCATATTGATGCTAATGAAGATAAGTCATTTTACCATTTTTCACATTTATATTGATGCTAATAAAGATTTATTAGCATCAATATAAATATGAAAAATGTTAGAATGACTTACGTTGTGAAACGGATGAAGTAGCAATGAAACCGTGATAGCAGCACGCGTGCTTGCTGTCACGGAGCAGCGACGGCGCACGGGGTGGTTGGGAAGGTGGTTAGAATTTTTATACATGAATCGGATCGGATGGTCCTGGCCTGCTGGATTTTGCATGGAGCAGCCACGGATGCACAGACCGATTCGCTGTAGGTTAGTACTACTATAGTACTACGTGCTTAAAGGAGAAACAGAAAAGATACATAGGATCACTTTTAAAAGCGACTGTTTTTGTCCTATTTGCCCGTTAATCCTGCTCGACAGAGCTGTTGCTTATTTTGTTAATTTTATTGGATTTATTGTTAGGATTAGTTGGAACTAGATTCTTTTTTATGTTTTGGTAGAGAAAAAGCCTACAAAGATTGAATTACGGTTGACACGGTAGCATGTTCTACGCTAAAACATGCCGAGCACACCGTGTGCGCTCCACTTTGGTGCATAAGGACGTGATTCTACAAATATATTGGAAACTTGTCATCAACAAACCAGAACTTTTGGTATAGATAGGTTTCGTCGAACGCTCATCTTGGAGGAACATCATCAAGGCAAGTGTGTGCTGGTGTACCCTAAGGGCAGTAGCAGTGCAGCGCACGTATAGCGTGTCTCTGCCCACCTGAAGCAGCGAAAACAGATTCAGAGTCACGAGCTTCACAACGCAAGCGCGAGGAAATCACGTCTCCGCTGTGATGCGAGGGAACCGCGACTCCGGAGCAACGAACTCCACAGCACACGCGCCCCTCAAGTTTCTGCGTTGCGTGCCCTCGATGCGACGAAAGAACTCGCGGTTTAGATAAGATGCGAGTGGCTACGCAAAGGCGCGAGTGAAGGTGACACGTCCGCATGAGTCTGACCTGGTGCGGTAAGGCAACTCGCCAGGTCAACGCATTGTGAAGGGCCTTAGGGGTTGTTTGGTTGGTTGCCACACTTTAGTTATGCCACAATTTTTTAGGTATATGTTTATTTTACTACCGTAATTGTGTCGTGCCATACTTTCTTAGTCATGGGACCCACATGCCATATTCTTAAATTTGGAGCTAAGCATGCCACACTTGTGGACAACTATTTCCAAGCCACACTTGTGCCAACATACCTCAACTAGGCTAAACTTAGTTATGTCAATGTTAGGCATCAACCAAACATCCCATCACCCAATAAAACTTAGGGCATATTTGGGAGGGGGTGGTTCTCGTTGTTGCATTTTTTTTCCAAAATACTCAAAACGATCTAGGGTGAAAAAGGTTATAATAAACTAGAAGCCAGGAGTTATGTATCAACCAACTATTTATTAAAATCTTAACTTTCCTAAACAAGACCTTAAATTGTTATCTTTCATCGTAGAACTGAAAACAATTTAGGATTAGAAAAAAAAAAGATGAGAGAGAAATAAATAGGTAGAAGTGATATATTATTATGATGATTGGGTATGAACGGTTTCAATCAGGTTTGACCCCCCCCCAAATATTTGTATGAAGGATGATCTTGTTTCTATATATTTTTGGTGGGTCTAAGGATAAAGCAGACTACTGGTTGCATGAGCCTTGGCGCCCGTGCATCACCATCAATTATTTACGTAGTACTCGACAACTTCCTTCTCTCTCCTCCACCTTAGACTTTTCTACCGTCTATAGGTTAATAGATGGCTTTGGTAACTTTATTGCACTTGTCCTAACTGAAACCAAATTTAGTTTTTTCTATATAAGGGTATTATTTTACTCGGCATGTAAATCCAATTGAATATATGCATTTTTTTAAATCAACTTGAAATCAACTTCAGTTGAAGAGCTGAAGATATTAGATACCCAAACAGGATGCTTGTGGAATGGCATATAGTAGTTAGATGAGCCGTGAGCGGTAACAAAAATTGGAAAAATTTGGAAACCAGCCGACGCAGCGGCAGCTTACACGTTGTCTTTCGCTGACGATGATGTGTTAGTAGTAGCACTGTAGCAGCCAAGCAGGAGCAGGCAGGAGTAGTAGTGATCACGGTGACTCGGAAACGCGCCGCACAAGCCATCCCAAAATCTCCTCCAATTTGCTTGGCTTTGGAAAAAAACCCAATTAAATTATACCATTATTCCATAATCAGCAGCGGTGACGGCTTGGCTTAGCTTAACTTTGGCTTTAGTACTCATCTCCTACTAAGCTCGTGGACTTTTCCTTCTCTCGTCAACAGCAGCGCACCTCACCTCCGCCGCTCGCCTCGCCTCGCCTCGCCTCGCCTTCCTCCTCCCATCCTCACCCCGTTGAATTTCTCCCACCTCCGATTTCTTCTTCCTCGTTGAACCATTCCCCACCCTTCTTCTCCTCCTCATCCTCCTCTCCGCGCCCCGCCTCTGCGGCGAGGTAGGTGTTCGATCGGTCGGATGGACGCGTCGGATGGCCGCCCGTCGCCGCGGAGCCGGCAGCTGCAGGGCCCGCGCCCGCCGCGGCTGGCCGTCAGCAAGGACTCCCACAAGGTCAGGAAGCCGCCCGTCGTGCCGCAGCCGCGCGGGGGCGGCGGGGTGGTGGCTGGGCCGTCGCGGCCGCAGCAGCAGCAGCAGCCGCGGGCGCCGGTCATCATCTACGACGCCTCGCCGAAGGTTATTCACACCAGGCCCAGCGAGTTCATGGCGCTCGTCCAGCGCCTCACTGGCCCTGGCTCCGCCGCCGTGGCGGCGGTGGCTGCTCCCGTGGCCGCTGGCTTCCACACCGAGGCGTCGTCGTCGTCGTCCGCCTCCGCCTCCGCGCTGCCGCCGCAGTTCCAGCTGCCGCAGGAGTTCATGCTCTCCCCGACCGCCGCGCTCTCCCCCGCCGCGAGGTACGCCGCCATCGAGAGGTCCGTACGGCCGCTTCCCCCCACCACCGCGCACTACTACACCGCCGACGCCGACGACCCCATCCTGCTCGACGTCGACGGCGACGCCGCCGCCTTTGCGGCGGCCCTCGGCCCCGCCCGCCCGAGCATCCTCTCCCCGGTGCCCTCCGCGCTGCCGCCCGCGGCGTCGTCGGGGCTCTTCTCCCCGCTCGACCAGGCCTCCCTCTCCTGGCTCAGCGACCTCAGCCCCTTCCTCCACTCCGCCGGCGCCGCCGCCGCACCCCCGCCGCCGTTCGCGCCGAGCCCCCGCAGCCTGCTGCTGTCCACGCCCACCATGCCGTCGCCGGCGACCTTCTCCGTCATGGAATTCTTCAGCAGCAACTTCCCGGACCTGTAAACTAATCCCAGCTCACCTCATTTGATTACTCCCTCTCGCGTCCGTGTCACCCCCGGGGTTAATTACTTTAATCCTTAATTAATCTTTTACCGCGTGCGCCGGCGAGGTTAAAAAGTAAAAAATCACATTGCCGCGCCGGTGAGGTAACTTCCAGCGAGGCGGGCGGGTTGGCGAGATGGCACGGTCGTTCGATTTTTTAATGGAGGAAAAAGAAAACAATATTCTCAGATATTTTCTCCTGTGGGTGAGGGGAAGTTGGCTTGGCTAAGCTAGCATTAATTGTTGGAGTAGGTGAATTTCTCTTCTCATACTTGCTTCCTCTCCTACTGTTAATGTATTGATAATTTGATATTATAATCAGCTTTAGGTAGGCTAACCTCTCGTTGGCTTTATTTTTCTTCCTCTTTTTCTTCTTTTCGTTCTGCTGATTGTGTAACTTGTAAACGAAGGAGATGATTGATTGGTTGATTTAATGCTAGTTTCATTTGTTCATTCTTTATTACCCTGAGCCCTTCAGACTTGGTCATGTATGGTTGAGATGATTTAATTGCCGATGATTTTACGTCTCGGTTTACCGCCGGTGTCTACCTGGCTTTTTGTCTGGAGAATTCTTTGGTACATAAACATGTGTCTGATCGATGCTTAAATGTTGAAAGCCTTGTTTTGATGGTAACAGGAAAAAAATAAGCATCATGTTTTAGAACTAGATTAGTATAAGAGAAAATAAGCTAGACAGATTTCGATTACTACTTGCGATTCTCTAGTTTTGAGGCAACTAAAATATTTGAAGATATATCAATCCCTTCAAAGGTGATGTACCACAAAACTATTGATTTAAAAATAAATTTATCATAAAACTATGTATTTAAGGTGGAGTATCGAAAAACTATAGATTTATTAACAAAATTATCACAAAACTATGAATTTTGGAGTTTAAATCCTTAGCGCTAGTGTTATATTTGAGTTATAAATATCTAAGTTTTGGTATTAAATTGATACTAAACCTATACTTTTGTGATAACTTTGTTACTAAATTTATAATTTTACGATACTCTACTTTAAATCTATAGGTCTCCGAGAAATTTATTGTTAAATTTATAATTTTGTGATACATCACATCACCTTAAATATATAGTTTTGTGATAATTTAGTCAAAGTATCTGTAGTTTTCTGAAATTTAGTCTTATTTGTTTTATAGAGGGGAAAGTTCATTTTATATTCATGAACTTTCATAAAAGTCTAAAAATCATTCCTTACCTTTTAAATCAGACAATATTTATCCCCGAAATTTCAGTACATTCACTTTTCATTCTATCACCAGATTCAAAGTGATTTTGGATGACATGTAATACATATTATCTTTTGCGAGCTATATAAAAAATAATTGGCTGGTGGAAAAATAATTCTATAGTACTCCCTCCGTTTCATAATGTAAGCCATTCTAGCATTTCCCATATTCATATTGATGTTAATGAATCTAGATAGATATATATGTCTAGATTCATTAATATCAATATGAATGTGGAAAATGTTAGAATGACTTACATTGTGAAACGGATGAAGTATGTTGTTTGTAATGACCTTCATTTTGGAACATATCTAATTTATTTCATTTTAATATACACAAATGTCCAATTGAAAATTTTCAAAGATATTTTTATGTAAATTATAAAAGTTAAAAATCCAAACATAATTCTAGCTTTTAAAATTCTGAAAACATTAATTAAAATTTTAGATTTCTCCAAAAATAGTTACAAAATAAAAAAAACTTAGAAGTACATTAATTTGGTCCATTATGATTTGATTTTAATTTTATCCAAATATATGATTTCATTCAAAATTTAGCTCTTTTTTCTAAAGGAAAAAAAACCATACTACCTCTATTTTTTAATAGATGACACCATTGACTTTTGGTACACGTTTTATCATTCGTCTTATTAAAGAATTTATGTAATTATAATTATTTTTTGTGATTTTTTTTATCGCTAAATATATTTTAAGCATGATTTATATCTCATATATTTGCATAAATTTTTCTAATAAGATGAATGATCAAACATGTATCTAAAAGTCAACAGTGTAATCCATTAAAAAACAAAGGGAATATGATATGTTGCTTGCAGAAAAAAATCGTTTTAAATGCTCCGTGCAAGATAAGATAATTTATTGAGATTTTTTTAGGATTTTTATAGATGTTTATAATTCATATAATTGTATCACATTGTCACATCTAGGCCATGTCATCCAAAACCACTTTAATCTAGTCTAAGGATGAAAAGTGATTTTTTTTTTAGATAATGGATGTAAAGTAAATGGTATGGCCAGTTCATGAATGAATAATACCAGATTTTAAAGTCTAGGGATGAATTTTATACTTTCCTGAAAATTCAAGGATGTAAATTTTCTTTTACTAAAAATGCGAACAAGTTTTACAACTAAAATTGCATCTGAAACAGTTTTGTGCAAATGTCCTGCTTTGTGAATACGGGTGGCACGAGCTATAAGCCTATAACAATATTGAAAGCATAAACCACATGGCATTGCACCTCGAGTTACCAAGTGCATGATTTTTCTTTAAGACTTTATTTTGCATAGGTACAAAGGTAACATGTAGTAGTTCGTCTATAACAAAAGGAAAAAACAATTTCACACTAACTTGCGTGAAAAGTACACATGAAAATCATCCATAATTAAACTTTAAAACCAAGCATTATTTCTTGATAAACTTAGCAAACCATATAAAACACCCCTAACCTAATCCCTTCTTTCTATAAAACTAATACACACTAAATGCCTAAAGCTCAATATGCAAGCATACTATTTATTAGCACTCCTAAAAACTATATGCAAGAATGCCACATCAATCCATTAAATCCATTAAGTATACAAAGCTCAGCATGCAATCATGATAATGGGGATTTATATACAAAATATATGATAATGTGGATTTATATATGCCTTATATTATTACAATACAATTCATGATTTATTTTTTCAAACGTCATTGTGTATTGTTATAATATATTAACACTATTTCCATGCGCAATATGGGTATCGTTATAGTTAGACAGTTATAGTTAGCCAATTCGCATATTTCTACTTCACTCAAGTTTTTTTTTCCTGAAAATAGATTCAGGTAACAATACATAATAATTATATGCTATCTTATCATGCATACTAAAACAAAACACACATATTAAACAATAATCACACATTAAACAATAATTTGAATTGTATCCAGAAAACATGTTGTTATGCGCACAATATGTAACAATGCTATGTGTGATTGTGAGGTGGAGCAAAGGGAGGTGAATGGATAACTAATAAATGATTACATTGGATGAATAAGTAGCTTATTGATCCAACGGTTATTATCTTTGCACAAATATGATCTAATAGCTTAAAACTACTAATGATATGGCTTCTTATATATCTTGCTTTATAAGAATAAATGTCTCTTAGTGGGTACCAATTATATATGAAGATAGGATCTATAAGATCTCCCTTCAAGAGATTTTTGCCAAATCAAAAAGATATTGGTAGATGTCAACATGTTTAGAGTTTATTTCGGGAAACTTTTTGTAGCTATAGCTTCTCCTCTAAACAAAAGCTCCTAGCTTGTTTAGCTTTTTTTTTTCCTAAATTTTCAGAATCCAGAAAATATACTGGAAGCCAAAAAAAAAAATTGGTTGGTTACCCCAACTTCTTCATACCTTTACCAGCTGTTTTTCATAATAAAAAGGTCTACTAGACATGCCCTACCTATTGTGTAATTTCAACATAAATATATAACATATCATCAGTGTATGTATTTCTTAGGCTCAGTTGAAACACGTAATTTCTAATAAGGATTTAAATTTCTCATAAGGATTTAAATTTCTTTGTTTTACCTAGCTCACAGAAAAACTCATAAGAATTTAAATTTCTCTAAAATTCCTTTAATTTTTTTTTCAATCCAAAAGATTTTCCTTACATTTCGCAAGTCGAAGAACAAATTTGAAACCAAAACATGTAAGGAGAACAAAATAAAAAAAAAATCTTAGAACTTGGAAGCGTAAAAGGGGAGTGAGATATTTTGGACAGGTTTGGCACTATCCCATCCGTTATCCCCTTGGCTTTCCTTTCCCTCCCTCCCTTTCGCCTCGCTCCGGGCCACTCCCTCTCCCTCCTCTCTCCGCCGCCGCCGCCGCCGTGCGCCATGGTGGCGCTCGCCTCCCTCTCGTCCCTCTCCCCCTGCGGGCTCGCGCGCCGCCGCTCGGCCTCCTCAGCCGCCTCTATCTCATGCTGCGCGGCCCCGCCCCCGCCCTCCGCGAAAGGTATATACGTATACATGCCATGGCTTGCTTACATCTCTCTCTCGTTTCTTACTCCATCCCGCCGACGCTGATTCTTCGTGGGAGGGAGATGATGTGGAAGGAATCGGAAAAATGGCAGGCCATGCACGTCCCCCGTGACGAACTTTGTACTCCTTATCGTCCCAATTTCACTTGCGAGTCTCTGTGATTGCGGACCTCGCCGGTAGCCGCCGGTCGTCACCTCCTCCCCATCCTTGTCAAGCGCGCCCTAGGACCTATTACCCCTGAACTAGTACCACTCGTTTAGGGGTTTAGTGTCAAATTTTTGTTGGGGTTTAGTGTCCAAAATGTTTGGAGGTTTAAGTGAATCTCCCCAAGCCCTATGTTAGGTTGGTTTTGTTAATTTGCGGAATCATGGATCGCTTTCGTATAGTTGTGTTGTATGAGGTCGCGTATTGCTATTGAGAATCATCTGTCACTGCAAATCGTCTCCATTTTTATTATGTCAAGGTGATTTTGTTGGATGGAGTCTCCCAGTCTGTAACACAAAAGCATAGATAGTTAGAACACATGGTTTCAGCCAGTGGGGGAATCCAGTAAAAATAACTGGGTTTCTATGCATATTATAACACGTCGAGTACTCCTATTATCAAGTTGCAACTATTATGAGCTAAAACACCTAAAAATGGAAGTCTCACCCGGTGTCCTGTGCACCAGGGTGATACTATGTACTAGTTCAGTCCCAGTATTCAACTGTTTACAAATCTGCCACAGTTACGCGAAATGGAAAATTCTTCTCTGCTTAGACACTCACAAGTGAAGGGCATTTCTTCCTAATGTCTACAGGATCTCAAGAATCCAGAACTCCACGTAGAAGGGTGAGGAAAACTGAGGGTGCCACCAAGAGCCTGGAAGATTCAGTCAAGCGAAAGATGGAGCAGTTTTATGAAGGATTGGATGGTCCACCTCTCCGAGTCCTTCCAATAGGTGGCCTTGGAGAAATCGGCATGAATTGCATGCTCGTAGGGAACTATGACCGTTACATATTGATAGATGCAGGGGTCATGTTTCCAGAGTATGTATTCTGTTTCTGTTGCTTGCTGCTGCTTACATTACTGTTTGATTCACATCTTTTTTGTCTGTAATTTTCATGTGTCTATTTGCAACTTTGCATTTTGTGAATAGCGTTTATTTTGGCAAAACATGT